AATAAAATGATGTTAGTACGAAAAGTACTCCTGACATTTCCAGGGTGGAAAGACTGAAGTTAAGTCCTCAATCTGGTGAGGCAAAACGTACTCTGTATCTTTTCCAGGCCTGTTTTATCCTTCTTTACTTCAGTTTCCTCAGGGATCTGTACAGAGGTTTTGAATTGAGAGTTTTTATTTCTAAATACCATCAGCTATCACCAGAAATATATTTAAATAAACACAGAATCAATTTTTGCTTGGATCACACATACTTAAATTTTTTAGATGAAAACATTTGAAAAATTCTATGGACTTTTACAATTAATTCAATTTAATTTTGACTCCATTTAGCTCCCAAAACGTTAATTTATTTGTATATCTGAAAAGAGAGTAAGGTAGACAAGCTTTTCTTCTTTATTTGCCTTTTTTCTTTTTGCAAAGCAGGAAAGAATATCAAATCAGAAAAACCAAGACTCTCAAAAACAAAACATAAAATTGCACATCCTACTTTCAGTGAATAGTCCAAATGAAAGAATCAAATTGCTGTTACTCTCATTTAAAAAGCTCAGCAATATCTAAAACGAATGAGTCAAAAGCTTGTTTTTGTATCACTTATCTCAGATTTCCCTTTTCAGGAACATTTTGAAGTAGAAATAATGTCAGTGATAGTTTCATCTCATGTTCTGGAAAAATAGAGCAGAAAATTACCCACCCTTGGTGCACTGGATGTAGAACTGCCTAAATTATTCAAACAAACCATAACACCTATGCTTGCACTGACTTCTGATGATTCTCTTTGATATAAGCTACTTCCCTATAGTGAGCATTCAGCTTTAATTTTTACTGGCCATCATTCTCAGAACTTTCTATTCTAGCATTCTGTTTATATACCATAGCATTGTCAAAGCCCTAGTTGATTTCTTAACTACCACAATGGGAGGGTCATATCAAATTGTTTTCAGTGGCTTTACCTAGCCAAGAAAGCTAATAGTTCATTCATTCAATCACTGGAAAACATTTAACAATCCCTTTGTGTATTAGAACAGTACTAAATATATAGCTATAGTTCCTGCATTCAAAGATGTCACCACTCAGTTGGTACAGACAATTAAAGAGATAATTCTATAAAGTTATACAAAACAATGAGAGAGATACTACAGAAGCAGAGATAAAGGGTTCATAACTCAACTGAGAGAAAATCAATCAAACCTTGATCAAGATTATATTTGAGTTGAGCCTCAAGTGGGGCAATATTGCTTTCTAGAGGATATTTGGCAATGTCTGGTGACATTTTTAGTTGTCACAGTGGGAACTTTCGCTGTTATCTGACAAGTAGAGGAAAGTATGCTGCTAAATATCCTGCAAAGCAGAAAGCAGCCCCAACAAAGAATGATACGGTCTAAACTACCAGTAGTGCCAAGATAGACAGACCTGTTATAAAGAATAGAAATATAATTTATACTGGTTTAATCTAGAAAAAATTCACATATTTGAAAAAATCTAGGGTATATTCATTAACTGAACCAGTAAATAGTGAATGCCTACTAAGAGTCTGGGGATGTCCTAGGCAAAGGACATAAAGAATGAACAAAACAGAAAAAGCCCATCTTTCATATTTATCTCACCAGAAGGAAACAAACCATAACAAACAGGAAAACACACAAAATGTTAAACAGTGAAAATTCTAAGGGTAAATTAAGTAGGGTAAGGGATAAAATTCATTTTAGAGAACCGAGAATTGCTGCAAAAGAGGTGATCAGAATATAGTTCCTATTTTAGGTAGGATTGTTTGAGAAGTTCTTATTTATTTGTAATATTTGAACAGGAAATTGAAAATTTGAGGAAGCCATGTGAATATTTGGGGAAGAACATTCCCAGCAGAAGGTACAGACCCCTAGAGAGAAAGGTGACAAAAATGTTAAAGAACCCCAAGGAGGCCCATTTGACTGGAGTACAAAGAAATGTCAGGGGGATTAGGAGGAGATGACACGGGGGTACTTGGGATGGGGGCGCTGGTTCACACAGAGCATTATGCAAAATTGAATTTACTGGGAGTGAGATGGAAAGGTTGTGAGCAGAGGATTAAAAAAAGGGAAGGTCTGAGACAGAAAGCAATGTAACTAGAAATCTGTTAGACTGAGTGTGGCAATTCTGTTGAGAAGAGACTGCAGCCTGGGAGACCAGGCAGGAGGCTATGATGCTTCCCTGAAAGCACTTGCAATCAGCAACAGGCCAATGTACATCATTTTCAACTAAAAAGGACTATCTCAGACACTATGAAAGGATTATGTAGGTTCTCTGAGGCACAGACTTCTACGGCTTTGCTGAAATAACAGCAAATCATACTACTGAACTGAGTTGGGATTTCTAGGACCCTGGTTGGAGAAACTGGTGGACTTAAAAGATTGCTGATCCAAGGTCAAACTGAACAAGAACTCCATAAGACTGTATGAGTTCATGAAGGGTGATTACGGATTTGATTGAAATACTGCTGATTCTTAAATGTCCTATTTCCTGGATATAAGGAACCTCTTTCTCTTTTCTCTTAACTATCTATAGTTCATAAACATTTAGTAGATTATACTTTTGTAAACAACAGAAATGAAATACAATATTTTTTTTTCTCTTTGCCTACTCCCCTACAACTTAGGGACTTTTGAGTGCCATTATTTTCATGGCAATATAATGATTTGCATTGGCTTAATAAAAATATGACCTGGGACAAATATAATTAGAAACATTGATTATATAGCCAAAGCTTTGACAAAGCATACTTGAAAATGCTGTGCATAAAATGAGATATGACCAGACCATTTTAAGAAACTAAGGTCAATTTTATTGAGTCAATGCTTACAAACCCCTCTTGGGAAAATCAGCTTGTGATGTAAGAAATAAATTTAATAAAAATAAATAAATCTATAAGTACTGCAGGTAAAATCTGATGACAAATTCTTGGTTCAGCTTCCTAGACTCAAGAAGCTTTTAAAAATTTAATCCGATATTCCTTATAAAAACTTCCAGCAAAATAAACGTTAAAAAGACCTATGTGGTTAATTAACATTCTTTCTACACCTATGTAAGTATTCAGGCCAAATCTAATGAAACCAAACTTATTTTGTGACTGAGAATAATCTTACTTTGATTGTCATTGATTAAAAGAAAAAATGACTATAAAGAGAAATTTTATGTTTCAAGAGAAAACTATACAGTACAACCTCATGAATTTTTAATTCTGGTGCTGTTCATCAAGCTATTTCTCACCTCTTTGCAAACTACATGGATTTGCTATCTACCTATACATTAAACCAAATCCTGTTGTCTTATACAAATTGTCCACCCTTACCAAATTTTAAAACTTTTGCAGTTTCCTTCAATATCTGACTAGAATTGTCCAAATTAATTTTCCTAATTTTCTCCCCACCCTCCTGACTTGGAATTACTGAGAATTAAAATCTGATTTCCCAGATTCTTACTGGGATTTTAGCTTGTCATGTAGCTTTCTCCGCAGGATCTAAAGACGTGTACATTGAAGGTAGATAACTAGATACAATCATCAAAGGACTTGTCACTATGGCAGATCACATAGGGGCTACCTGCATGCCTAGAGCTGCAGCTGTGTGGGGACTCCAGAAATTCACCAGAACTACCTCTTCTTCATGCTTTGCTCTGGAAAATAACCAAGACTGGACAATCTTACCAAAACCTCCTGGGTGTCTATGACATCACCAAAAACATTCAGACTGCAAAATGGGAAATTGTCAAATTGTCACTGTCACATCCTCATTCCAACATGGACAGATATCTCAAGTCCAATGCCAGGGAATCTTCTCAACCTGCTCTCCTCTGGACTCAGAAACTAGGTTTATAGTCTGCTTCAATCACACCAAATATCCTCTCCTGCCAAGTCTCAGTAGATGTTTCAACTAATCCTTCATTCACAGCAACCTGCTAAAGCAAATTCCATTGACCAATTTTCCTAAGTTGCTAATGCAATGCTTGTCTCCCCTAGAACAAAAAGAAAGACTTACTAAGCTGACCTTCAAGTTTCCCTCAGTTTTATTAAATTTTGGACAGGTTTCTTCCTGGGTCTAAGTCCCTAACCTTTCTTTTTGTAGAGCATTTACTTGGGGGGAAAATGTGCAATTGTGAGCTTTTTCTCTTTATTTTTGATGTGTAAATCTTTTTATAGGACCCTTGGTATATAGGAATGTCTTTTTTGAGATGTGGGAGCCATTTTTTTTTTAATTTTTAATTTTAATTGGCAGGCTCCTCACTTCAGGTTGTAAAATTATTTCCTATCAGAGACATCCCCTGCTCATGGATTGGAAGAATAAACATTATTAAAATGGCCATCCTACCAAAAGCAATATACAGATTCAATGCTATTCCAATCAAAATTTCAATGGCATTCTTCAAAGAAATAGAACAATTATTGATGAAATTCATATGGAATCACCAAAAACCCCGAATAGCCAAAGCTCTCCTGAAAAAAAAAGAAGGGAATGGAGGCATCAGACTCCCAGACTTCAAACTATACTACAAAGCCATAATCATCAAAACTGCATGGTATTGGAACAAGAACAGACATACAGACCAATGGAATCGAATAGAAAATCCAGAAATAAACCCACAGATTTATGGTCAACTAATTTTTGACAAAGGAGCAAAGAATATGCATTGGAGCAAAGAAAGTTTGTTCAATAAATGGTGCTGGGAAAACTGGGTCGCTACATGCAAAAGAATGAAGCTTGACCACCACCTCACACCATACACAAAAATCAACTCAAAATGGATTAAAGAACTAGACATAAGACCTGAAACCATAAAATATATAGAAGGAAATATAGGCGAAACACTACGTGATTTGCACATCAAAGACATCTTTAC